AGAAAGTAAAATAGTAATTTCTAGTTATTTAAATTCAACTGTAGTAATACGCTCAGGCTAAATAGTATTTTCCATTTCTAAATTTGCTTTCATAAAAGAATACTGAGGTAATGTCTGGAACAAGCACCCAAGTTTGTTCCTTGAGCAGGGAGCCTTATGCAACCCTCCCTTATAAATGTCTTTTTATTTTGTGGCTATTAATCTGATCTAACCTGTATTACTAATGTATTACGTATCATCTGATTTCAGAATCAAAGGGATCTGCAGCTGCTTTGTACTTGGGTGGGAAACCACTTGGTGCAAGCCAGGGAGTCGTGGTTGAATGCTTGGCAAATATCAGAAACCACAGAAACTAGAAAGACAGTAAGGTGACAGATTTTATAACCTTTTTTTACTTCAGAGTATTCAACTAATCTCTCCCTATGGTGATTTTTCACTGAACCTTTGTTTTGTGACCTGGGATGCTTGCTACCTATTTTATATCTATCAGGATTTAAGATTCATAGTGGTACAGTGATCCAGAATTGTTACATCATTTATCAAGTAGTACTTAGTAATTTTTGTGATGATCTTTCCCAGTCTTATGTTAATTAATACATAAAATAATTTTGTACAACTGCGAAGACCTATCTTTTTAAAGCAAGTGGTACATTACGAAAACATCTTTGTATGTTGTTTGGTAAATGAGCAAGACTTCTTCATACCTTGTTTGCATTTGTTATGATACACGCTTATGATGTTTATACTTCTCGTTATTGAACACATCTAAATACATTGTAAACATATGCTTTAGCATATTTTCCAGTATTCGTTGTGACAGAAAGTGGTAGTAAGCATACTTCTCACAGTTACAGGGTAATTTTAGTAGACAGTAGTTTCCCCACCCTGTTGCCTTTTCTTTGTAGTTGTTTCTTTAGTACTTGTTGAATTGATTGGAACAGCTTTATAGTTGATCCATACAAAGTGGCTCCATTCCGGAATTACTGGAATACAGTGAAGATATGCAATTTAGACTCAACGTTTCTTCTGAAGTCTTTGAAATCTTACTGTCATATGGTTATTCACTGTCTGTAGATACGTCTTCATCTAGTGTGAACAGTATGTCTATAGAGCTATGATGATTCAACAAGCAAGGAAATATGCCATGTATATATATATACATGCTAAAATTGTGTTTTCCTAAAGAAAAAAAAATTATTTGCTACATCTATACATATTAACTTAATGGCTACTGGAAGACCTCATTTTCTTTTGAAAATTCTTTCATCCTGCCCAAAGCATAGATACGTTTTTCAGTAATTCTTTTGGAATGAGACCAGACAATATGGTTGGAAGGACCTACATTAAATAAATGTGAACACATTTCTGGAATAAATTTGTCTTACCTAACTTTAAAACACCAGTTAAAGAAATCCCAGTGTCCCCAAAGAATTTCTTCCTGTACTTAAACTTCTATTGCTAGAGAGTTTTTCCTAACATTTAACCTAAATCTCCTTTGATACAACTTAAACATCATCCCAGGCACCAAGCACATTGAGAGTATTTCCTCCTCTGCAACAGCGTTTTCCATATTTGATAACTAATGTTATTTATCCTCTCCCTTCTAGACAAAACACCATTTTTCCAGTCTTTCATACAATGGTTTAGATTCATGCAGCACAAAAGAATCATTAGATACGTTCCCAGAAGTTACAGCAAAGAAGAGTATGTGTAAAATGAGAGTGAGGACACTAAGTTAGCTCTGTAGTATTACGGCTCATTTATGAATGTAGGCAAGCCAGATAAAATCAAATCCAAACACCGATCAACTGAACTAGTTGTATATTGAAGACATACACAGCCTGGAAGTGATTTCAACAGTTTCGCCAATCCAAACTTAATAAAACAGGTTGACATGTTTGGAGATGTATAATGGATCAACACAGACTTAAATAACACTAGATTGGTATTTCCATTTTTTTCCTTGTATATGGAAATTCTATTTGAACGAGGTAAAGCACAGCAAATTACTCTGATAATATAACAACTTATCTGTAATACTCTCTTTACCACCACTGAATCCTCGCAGAGGCAGGACATCAAATTCTCGGGGAGACAGTCTTAATTTATCCATAGGTTGAACACTGCATTTGTGGGTTTTACTACCTCTGGATAATTGAACACCATGTTTCTGTAATTAGATAAATGTTTCGTGTTATGTTTCTGTAATTTATGTAAATTATAGTTATAGATACTAATTACCCTATTTAAACTTGGCTGGCTCCCCAAAGACTTCTAAGAAGAAACTAATAATTATTAGCTTATCTTCTTTTAACACCCTGGAGGCTACCATTAGCACCAGACCATTTGGGAGTTGGTAGGTTACTTATATTTTCTGACTTACAGACAATCTAAAAAGAGATCAGTAAAGTAAAAGGGCTAGGTTAAAATATTTGTTCCTTGCCTAGGAAAAACTTTGCATTTTAGCTCAGTAGCTGCTTTTGAGATGATAATATAAATAGCTGCAGTTAGCAGGATTTAAGATAATTGGTGTAAGTAACTAACGAATATATGCATTTGTTCAACAACTACAGCACTAGTATACTTTTAACAAAGAAAACAAATTGTGGGCTTTTAATGTTTTGCTAGTTACTTGTAAAACTAAACATCTGGTATTTGTATTTCCTAGGCACTGCAAGAATGCGTTATTTTCAGCAGGCACTTTTCAATTTAGTGCATTTCTCAGAGTTGCCAAAGAAAGGTCTTTGCTATCTTTAGTAAAAGAGCCAAAATTTCACCATTATATTTCAAATGTAAAACATCAGTGTGGCTTTACTCTTGAGTTATGTAGCTACTGCACTTGTGACTGCTGGTAATTTACACAGCAGAGTTCAACCTCACACGTTAGGTAACTCACATGGCAATGCATCTAAACTCGCAACTACCAAGTAAGCACACAGGAGATTCAGAAAACTCTGAGGTGAGTTTTCCTTAGACAACACTGTTCGCAATTTCCACAACTGAAACTATAGATATGTGATTTGAAACCCATGAATTGCTTTGCCAATTTAGGGAAGTACTGGACTGAGTGTGCAACAGTAGATGTGATGACGATGAGCAGAGAAGCTGTTAACATTTTGCTCTCTCCCGCCATAGCAAGAAGCTACGTGACCTGCTCAGCTAGAAAGTGCTAGGCACTATGGGTTTTTAAAATTAGGCAATTAACCATTTTAATGCTCTGTGATGATCTTCATTCTGCTCCCTATCAATAATTATCATTCAGCTGAGTTGGGTTTCACATATTCACACCCTTCTTTTACCAGAAGGAAGTTGTAAGCCTTGCAATGGGGGTGGCAGAGGTGAATAAAAGTTAACCTTCTGATTCCATACTGGCCTCCCATACAGGTGTAGGACGGACAACATGAGGTAGCAATGCCTTAAAGTACTGCAGAGGAATCCAACAAAGCTCATCTGCAAATACCTAACAACTGTGTAGATATGATGGAATTTCATTATTTACTGTTTTGAAATACCATTTATTGGCATTATATTTAAAGCCTTGATTTTCCTTAAAAGCTGATTTACATCCATGATCACAAGGATTAAATGCACTCTCATTGTTCTTTTAATTACAGAATATAGAAAAGACTGAACAACAATCTTGTGACGGAGAAGTAATTTAAGTTAGCACCTTTCCATGTTTTGCTATTACACACTTAGGTCCATAAATACAGCATTGTTTTCTTTGTAGGTAAAACAAAACTTGTAACAGCTTCACATTATTATTCAGCTCTGGCACTGAAAGAAAAAACGTGTTGCACATAACCATCCCAGCATACTACCTCATTAGTTTCCTTAGCAAATCTGCTGGAAAAACAGTCTCCAAAAAAAAAAATAGCACCAAAACCATTTATAACATTCGGTTTCACTGCATTTGAAAAATGGTACTCTTTTGTATATGAATAATGGATTATGTTGCCTTCAGTTAATCTGTAATTCTTTATCCTGCTCATGAGAGATTATAGTTGTTTTATTTTTGAAAAAGGTCAAATAGTTCATTATTTGCACATGCAGTTTTTTCTTGTTGAAGCTTGCTTGCAGTTTGTAGTTTTACAAGCCACGGAACACAAATAGCTATTGTCACTTAAGTACCCTTACTATAGAATCTGTCTTTTGTCATGATCCTCGAAGGGCATGTACATGCACTTGATTAAACATATAAAGGAGGATTAAATTCAATGAAGTTACATAATTAAACACATAAAAGTCTTTGCAATAATACGCATTTCCTTTGCAGTTTAAGATTTTGTCCCAAAAAAGTCTAACAAACCATATTGTTCATATTTTTAACTGATTCAGTAAGAACTGTCTCGCTTATACTGTCTTTGTACAAAGCTGTCATTACTATTTTAATTGGAATTACTCCTTACACTAAAGATGTTAGTCCAAAGACAGCAAAAGTTTGTTGGTGTTTGTACCCCCCCACCCCCCAATAAGAGGGGAAGATGTTAAGGGCTGGGGGGGGGGGAGGAAAGGTTATTTGGTGCTGTTCTAATTCATCATGAGACTATCCAAGAATTCTATTAAAGTATATTAAGACTTTTGCATGTCCTTCACGGTTAATAATTTATTTTTATTCTTAAAAAGGGAAAATTTGTCATTTTGGCCAATGTCTTGAGAAAAACTTTTAGAGGAAGAAGTAAGAGCTCCCATTCTTAGTGCACTGCTACTTTTTGTTCTTGGGAGTTTGTCGAGATGGCTTCGTAAGTACTTAGGCTGCTCTGTCAAGATAGGACAGCGTACCCTATGCAGCTGGATCTTCATCCGCCCAGTCAACCTCCTGCAAGATGCAGATGGCAAAGCGTTACTTGACCTGAATGCTACCGTGGGGTTTGTGCCTGGACAGGGGTAAGTCTGCTAAGCACGCTTCCAGAGAGACTATTCTAAACCAGAGTGCCCGTTACTGCATCGCATGAATGATGTGCCGTCTGCTAGCTGTAGATCGAAGCATGTGGCGTTACCTTTAAGTGAAATACTCTGTCCCCTCTTCCCCAGCGGCAGTGCCTGCGTACCGGAGCCGCTCTTGCCCCGTGTCGTCGGAACGGGGACGTGGGCCCCGCCGCGGCCCCGCTCCCCGCGAAGAGCGGCGACGGACACCGGGACCTGCCCCGCCCAGCGCTCCTCT